GGATGGGGATGCCAGATCGAGCCGTGGGCTTGAGTGAGGAGATCTGCTCTGATTGGAATGGGCCACGGGGCTGTCTGTGACAGCCGCGTTAGCTCCGGGAACCAAATCTGATTCTCCCAGCGCGGGGCTATGAGGAGCACCGAGTGGCGTGAGTCCCTGATTCTCTGAATGACCTGCGGTAGCAGAGAAATCGGGGGAAAAGCATAGAGCGGGCGGCGGGGCCAATCCTGGGCTAGCGCGTCCTCGCTCTTTGAGAAGAATATTGGGCAGTGAGCGTTCTCTTCTGATGTGAATGGAATAAAGGATACGCGTCGGATGGCGCTAGCTTGCTGGGCGGCTGAAGGTGGCAGAGGCCGGCTTCCTCAGCCGGAGTCGCTAGAAGGTGCCTTCTCGACGACAGCGGCTTCTTCCCAGGACAGCGGATGCGTGTAGCTCGCTGAATGATGAAGAATCGACGAACTAGCCTGGGAGAGCTACCTTTATACACTGTAGCCACGCCCCTTTTGGCGGGCTGTGACGCAGTGAGCGAGCGCTGTCCGCTCATTGGCCGCGGACTCAGCGCCGCTCTCCCATAGGTTCGTGCATTCTCTCTGAGCGAACCAATGAGCCGCTAGCTAGCCCGCTCATGGTCTGCCTCAGAAGAGACTGCGTTGACAATGATTACAAAATTATGGAATAATTTTTTGGCTTCAACTTCTCAGCAAAGATGAATCTTTCCCGTAGCGTAAGCTAGCTTACGCAATACGAGAGAACCTCTCGTAAGAGAACTAAATGTTCTAAATTTGCTCTCAGCAAATCAAATGTGAGTAAAATAAATAAATAATCAGCCGGCTATAAACAAAGCAATTGTGAGCGATAAATAAACAAAAGTAAAGGCAGGTATCTCACAGTAACTGCTTATGTCAGTCTCTGTTTTCCATGACAGAGTGGACTGCTTGTTGCTTGTTTGAATGTTTGTCTTGGCCCTCTTTGCAACAGGTGTCTGATGATCACCATCATCTTTATAGCTGTAAAACAAACAACTGTGAGCATGTTTATTACACAAAAAAAACAACTGTATTTCAGTCACCAAAAGTAATATTGCCCAGACAAAATATGTAAACAGAACTATACTTACTCAATTATACATACTGTCATTTTCATTTTCATTTACTGTCACGTTTCCCTAATTGCGTGCGAGCTTCTCCTCATGTCCATACGGTAATCTCTCTACTGTGCGACAGAGAGTCGTGCGGGTATGACGCAATCGTTAGCCTACTTTCACTAAAACTGCTTCTACGGGGCCATAACATAAGCTACAAGGTAATGGAGCATTTTATACATTGTCGTGTTTCTTTAGAAATAAAGGACAAATGGGGTCTTCAAACGCCTCAGATGTAAAGTTATTCGCTGTCAAAGTGACGGCAAAATGAATGGGAGTCAATGGGAATGCTAACGCAAGTGAAGTTCTGCTACAAGATGGCAGCTCCCACGAGGCTTCAACTTCCGGTCGATGGATTACCCCCTTGAATTGCTCATAAGTAATTTCCTGGTATGTGTTGTTAGAGGGTGGAGTTTCTGATCACATGGGTGCATAACAAGTCAGATGGAGATGGCACTTTCAGGATTGTGAACAAAAGGCATTCAAAACATACTTTAACTGAAACTGTGAAATATAATGCTATACAACTTTAGATCATATACAAAAGAACAATGGGAGAACACGAATATTCATAATAAACCGTATAAAGACACTTTATTTGTGAGTGTTTTATTTTATTTTAAGCCAAGCCACTCCCACTAATCCAGAACAGCCCCTCTGAGGGATACGCCGGGATACGGATAGTGATCAGAGAAATCACTCTTCAAGGCTAGCTGGTGGTAGAGCTTGAAACTCATTTCACACAAAATTTCTAGTTAGTTGGCAAACTCATTAGTGAATTACTCCTCATTTGTACTTCTTTCAAAATGGTGAATTATTGCATGATACCAGGATGTTCAGTGGTGGAGCTAGACTTTTAAAACAGGGGTGGCAAAGGGGTGTCAATGTATTATTTTCCCGTCTCATGGAATAATGCACGACCATTCAAAAATATGACTGTGTTTCTAACGATACAAAGCTTAATGCAAATGGGTGAAGTGTCCCTTTAAGGGTGAGTTTTAGCTGGCCCAAGAGTAGAAACGCAACTTAATTTTGGCCTTTCTGCTTGAGGTCCAAGGCTATTGGCCCCCACCAGGCGCATTGTTAGCCCTGCCTCGCACTGGCCAGACAGTGAGCTATTGACACTATAAATACCCAGCTAACAGGGAATGTTCAGAACTTTGGCCCAACTTTGACCCTTGAATTTTTGTAAGATAATTCTCCTTAAACAATTATGATAGTGGTTTACTAAAACAGATAAGCTGACATTAAATGTTTATGACATTTGAATGAGTGTAATAAATTTTAATCACAGATTTAATGTTTTATAACTTACTCAAAGGTTGAGGTATTATTGAACTGTTATGCAACGTTGTGGTAGAAAGATCACTATAATGTATCAGTACTGTGAAGTGGTAAATGTGAAGAGGAATCATCTTTTAAAGAAAACACACCATATTTTGTGCCTGGACTAAGTTGAGACACATTTAGACATTTAAGCTCATCATCCAAACCTCAACAATGGTGATAATCAACAAAATACTCAGATAATCAGATTTTGATTATCTGTACTCTATTAAACTCTTGAACATCAGAGCTGCTAAAGTCACAACAACAACACAGTAACAACAAAATCTAACCAAATAGTAAGACTTACAGAAAATTATAGAACAATTCAGCTGCATAATCTATTCATGCCACAGTGCATGGGAATTTTTACTATGCTATGCATTGGATGCATGACGGTTTTTTTGTTGTTGTTTTTTTTTGAACATTGTTGAGATTCATATGCTGATTGTTAATGTCAATCAAGCTGTATATGTTTTTTTGAAAACTGATTGCTGAAACATTGCTGGATCTCAAGCTGCAGAATCACAGGGCACACTGTAAAAAATTCAATCATAAAAAACGATCAATGACTGTCAGCTACGGCTGCCAAACAAAAATCATAAAAATAAAGTAAAATATCCTATTTTATCCATTTTAGCCTATAGTTAACTAAAGTCTTCTCCCTGTTCGCCAGCCACTCAGTTTCATGTCTTTCGGGAGAAATGGACGGATTTACGTTACATTTTCTAAATGAAAGGCACGTAGCCCCAAAAAGTGTCACGTGACGCTTTATATGTCGCCATGGAAATAGGAATGTTCTAGTACAATTACTGTCGCATTAACAAAATAATTTAACCAGGGACTCAATATTTTAAACTTAATGTGTAGCAAATCACGATTAATTTTCCCAATGAACAGTCATTTTTTTTATTTTTAAATCTGCATTGCCACTCTTCACATTCAACCAATCAGACAACATCCACTAAGTTTAAATAAATATGATAATATTATATATTATTATATTATATATTATTTTAAAAGCCTTCCTGATATAAATTAGTATACATTTCATTTATTATAGTAATTAACACTAAGACAGTAATTTGTGCAAAAAGCACTAATGACTTTTTTAAGACTTGAAGCTTAAACTTGAGGACTTGCAACTTGTCTATTTTGACTCGGGACTTTACTTGGGACTTGAATGCAAAGACTCGAGACTTAATTGTGACTTGAAAAACAATGACTTGGTCTCACCTCTGTTTATTATAGACTTTATATAAAACGATAATACATTTATATATAATGTAATCTTAGCTAATATATTCAGACTGTTATATCAGAGAAACAGTTCACCACATGATGACTATAACATCACCAATAAATGAGCCATGATCATCTGATATGTTCTCTTGCATTTTTTACTGTAATAAATGTGTATCAAAACACAGTTAAAGCAACCAGAGATAAACTACTGTTAAAAACTCAAGGGTCAAGAGCCCAACCAAACACTGATCTCAATCATGGTGACATCAAATTTTTGTCAAGTTTCTATCCAGTTTTTTACACTTTATTTAAATTTGCATATTTTACTTTAATTTTATGGTTTTTGTTTGGCAGCTGTAGCTGTCAGTCATTTGAACTCATTATTAAGATTTGTTTTACAATGACAGTATTTGATAATAATAATGCAGGGAATACCTGTAAAATAACAGTGTTTTTTGGTTTATTTCATTTAGGATTTTTTACTTTAATGTTACAGTTTTTTGGGCCGATCATTTAACCATTTTATCATTTAACTATTTTGTTACTGTTTAATCACAGATTATATTTGTAATTTTATATACATTTTTATGTAATTTAAGAAAACAGAAAAAATACTGACTGAAAAATACAATCAATTTTCTGTATAAAAAATTTGAATTACTGGAATTTGTCATTAAAGTCAGAATACTTAAAATAACAGCTGCCTTTTTATTTTACAGATATTATGTGTCATTTTACAGTGTTTTGACTACAATTTAAAATTTAAGAAAATGATAGTAAAAAAAATCATAGTTATTTTCTGTAAAATTAGGATTTTTTACAGTGTAGGGGAGACGGTGAATAACCCCTATTAAAAAAAACAAACAAACAAACAAACAAAACAGTGGCATGTGGCAACAGTCCCTGTGATTTTATGTTTTAGGGCTGCAAAGCGTCAACTCCCTTCAGGTGCAATAAAGTATATATTATCTTATCTTTTGGATCTAAACTATCTACAGAATCATAATAGTTTCCCAAATGTCATGTGGTTTAGGCTATTGGAAAATATATATATGGTCTATATAATCCTGAAGGTCCCATGTCCCATGTTTGGTTCACTTGCATCTGCATATTGTGAGTTCACATATTCAAGGAAAAGGGTTTTATATCAAAATAATTAATACTCAGAGAGATATACTTTTACTTTCTATTGCATACGTTTTTTAAGAAACTTCAAGAAGTTCTGCGTATGCATAGGCTGGATTTGACTCCTTAATAGGAATCCTTTTTTTTTTTTAAATTTCCCAGGACATTTTCGTTAAGTAGCCAGATTTTTCAGGTGTTCTTGGAAAACCGGGAAGGAATTAACAATAATAGTCCATTCAGTGGAGACAGATGAGGATCTGGAATAGTAAGTTGCTCTATTCGATGTTTGGAAATTGTACATTTTGAAAAGCCTCTTGCATTAATCTTAATGTTCTGTTAAAAACTCAGAAAAAAATCATTATCATAACCATATCATCGTGCTTAAGAGTAGAGCCTGTGCTTCAGAAGAGGATTAGCAGAGAAACATTGATGTCATGCTGCATGTTGCTTTATTTTAGAGGCAGTAACTGTGTAATTTCTGATACAGTGATGTCTATTAGATTCAGTTCATGTACACTATTGCAAACTAACTGTTAGTTTTGAATTGAGTGAGGGTAACTCGCATGCATACACAACACAGTAAATACATTGTAAATGTAGCTTATACAACACAGTAATTATTATATACATTTTTTCAAAATATGAAAAGCGGCAAATCCTAATTTATTACTTAATATTTTGTAATATATCAAAGCAATATATTATTCTGTATATTTTTCAATACTTTAAGCAATTTAATATATTGGTAAAGAATTATGGAAATATATATTCTTTTCATAAGTGATAATCTTGTAATGATGGAAAAAGAACGAGCAACAGAATGCACTGCCTGCTATAGCAGCTTCACATTGTGTAATCATTCATCTTTCTGTACTAATTACATGTAGTTTGTGCTTGTTTTGCCATTAAAACTGGAATACAGTTAATGACCAAAAGAGATTCAGCATTGTTTCGTCATTATCAGCTTCAGAGTACACATATACTTACACATATATATATACATATACAACTCCCTGATGCATATACAGTAACACTATATATATGTAAATGTAAATTACATTTGGTTTCAATCAGGTGATAATTCTCACAAGATCAAGCTACAATGAATGAAGAGAGCATGGACAACACAGCCACAACAGAGAGTAGAGAGAATCGTGTGGTAAGTGTTGAGTAAATAGTAAAATTACCTTAGGTAATTTCACATTTTTATCTATTCTAAATGTCTCTTGATTTCTTTGTCCCATTATTTTTTTTCTTCTAATTTTAATGCTCTTAACATGGAAAAGTGGATCGACTTGCTTTGTGCAAATGTTTTTTTATTATTATTATTAAAAACAACATTGGCATATACTGTGTTCAAATTCACACTAAAATTCTCACTTGGAGCAAATAATCTCTCACAATGTAACACTGTCCATCAATAAAAGGGTGAAAGAAATACTGACGAAGTCCTGATATTGACGAGGGGGCGAAGAATTCGCATCAGTTGTGCGTGTGTGTGTGTGCTGGGCCATCATCAAGCATCATCATATTTCAGACTGGACGTGCTGCGATGACGATAGCTCAGTTTACGACGACAAAACACACAGATCTCTTGGTCTTGTCAATGGAACCATTTGGCAACTTTTTAAAAGTAAACTTTCCATTCAGAATCTTATTGGCATCCATTTCGGCGTCTCGTGCTCGTCATCCACTCAAAACGTAACGTTAACCAATTTGGCCGGCGTGACTGTTGTTTTGTTTCCGGTCTAGCTAGAGCCGCTTGCGCTTTGGTCGACGAAGTAACAAAACGTCCTCGCGTGGCGAAAGCCATTGAAATGAATGGGTTTCATAGCGTAGCACGGGCATGCTGTGTCCTGTTGCAAAAGCATGTGAAAGAAAACTGCAAAGTTTGCTAGGCCAAAAAGACCATTAATCGCGCAATAAAAAATTGATGCCGTTAAAATGGGTTTGCGTTAATGCCGTTAATAATGTGTTTAACTGACAGCCCTACTATTTACTCAATTAAATTGAGTTCAATGCACTTTAAATAATACCAAAACTTGAATGGGGCTTAAATTACTGAAATATAACTTGAGTTATAGAACATTTTTATATCCCAGAATGATAATCAAATAATATTTGTATAGTTAAGTTAATTAATCATCAATTAAGTGATGATTGATCATTAGTGATGAACACCTGCTGTTAACAAGCAGAATCAATGAAGGAAAGAGAAACACAAGAAATACAAGGTTTAAGGTCACCATGAGGGAGATCAGTATTTGCTTTAGTTGGGCTCTTGACCCTTGATGTTCGAGGTTTTCTTTAGGCTGCTGTAATTGAATGTTTATGGAACATTTGATATGGCTCAAAATAGTAAGGAAAAGTTTGTTTGGGTGATGATGGTCAAGGTTTAATTATGAAAATAATCACTTAATCACTTGATTCACTGATCTTATTCAGAGTCTAGTCTCTGATAAAAACGGCAAATATGATCAGTTGTATTTAAAACTAAGATTCTACATCATAAGAACTAGCAATGTTATGATCAGATAGTATTAAGGATTTTACAGAAAATGTTATTCATTTAAAACTGCCACAGATATCAAGAATTAGCATATGAACCTCAACAATGGTGACCATTAAAAATGATTCATACTGCAATGCATCCATTAGCTGATCCATATGTATAATCCATATGCTGATTCTTGATGTCTGTGTAAGCCAGCATGATACAATAGAGTTTTTTTCAAATCTGATTGTAAAAACAATGGGCTTTGATTATATGAAAACAGACTGGAAAGAGTTTGTGAGTTTATGAGCTTAAACTGTTAAATACTGACAGAAATCTGCCTGGCATCTCTTCCCCCCTCACTACTCTTAATGGTGGGTGGGCCAAGGGTTATGCTTCATTGAGGGGTGTAAAACATATTATAGTATTTAAATGTAATATTTATTTTGTTGTTACCTGTCACTACAGTTAACTATCCACATACTGTATCCATATAGACCGTATACAGGAGGGATTTGAAAGCCATACATTTTAGTATATTGTCAATTTAAAATGTTCACTGTGTGAATGTAGCCAGTCATTACTAAGCTGTTCTTTATTTTACAGTCAAGAAAAGCTGAGCTTGGAAGAGAAAAAATGGTACGGAAACATGTACAGCATATCTTTGACAGACTTCATCTTGAAGAAAACCATGACAATAATCTGAGTGCTGCAGATGTTCTTCAGATAACTGAACATTCGTTACAGTCCCAAGAGTCTTGTGCTGAAGAGGAACTGATTCAGACTTTCCTACAAAAACTACTGATGATGAACTACAGAGCAAGATGCATTAATGTTAAAGAGAACAATGAACAGGATCGCACACAACAAAGAGGCAATGACTCATCTGAAGATGACGGTGATATTTTTGATGACATGTCTTTGTCTAATGAACAAAGTACTCAGTCTGAGCGAATCCACCCAATGGATGTTCAGATGGCCGTGTTTCATTGTGCTGATGGTTTTCTGAAGCAGCTGATGGTCACTAAACTGTCCCAGTGTCAGTACGCTCTCCCTCTGCTTGTTCCTGATCCAGACACACAACAGATTAAGTTTCCTTACTGGACATTCAGACAAATCAACAAGAGTTGGAAGATGAAGAACACCAACAATGAGATCATCAGTCAAACCCAGTCGATCTACAAGGCAAAATCTCAAATGGTGTGTTTCTTCAGGTTTGGCTCTGTTTCCTCATCCAAGTCTCATCTGATGAACAGTCTGATCAATGAGAAACACAACACGTTCTTCCACAGGAACTGTCCAGGCAGCAGCAGAACCAGAGTCCTGATGGATGGAGTGGTGGAGATCGCCTGGTTCTGCCCCTCTGGGAAAAACACGGATAAATTCATGGACTATGTTGTGTTCTGTAATCTACACGGTGATGCAGGAGATCATGAGAAACAGATGCAGATCCTCACTGAAATGGCCTCAGTCAATGTTGTTCTTCTACCACGACTTCAAAGGACTGCCAAACATGCAGCAAAGATCCAAAACCTGTACAAGGACAAAAAGCCACTCATTTGTCTTTTTACTGAGGATGAATCTGCTGTGACTGAGACGAAGAAAGGGAAATTCAAAATTGGCCTGAAGGACAGAAATCAGTCAGATGTTTCTGAAGAACTCAGAAGAACTATAAATGATTGTCTCTCAGAATCATCTTCCACTTTCAGACTTGAAGATTTGTCCAAACACTCAGACATCAGAGTAGATGAGGAAGAAGACTGCAGGAGAGGAAGAGAAGCAGCACAGCAGATGATGAGTTTACTGGAGAAAAAAAATCTGACAGAAATCAAAGACTCATTTCTTCCTCATCAGGGGAAACTGTGGCATCAGTGGAGTCAGAACAACAAAGAACTACATCGACCTCAAGGAGAAAAGACCGAAATGGACATCAGTATAAAACAAATGGATTTACAGAAAATCCGTGAACTGCAACATGAATCTAATATCAGTGAGTTCATGAAGCTCTTTTTTAAAAATCACTCTAATGCTGCAAATAATTTGTTTTTCCTTAAATGGCTGGGAATCCTCCTGGATGAATATACATCAGCTGACCTATCTGATCTACATCAGAAGTATGATGAAAAGTGGTCATCAGTTGTAAAACTGAAAGAGGATCATGCTAAACCTGAAAAACTGAAAGCTGAACAAGCAGAACTTGAGAGAATATCTGAGGATCTTCAAGCTGCATCCTTTGGTTTGGAGCACATCATGAGGGAGATCGGTCAGATCTATGAATCATGTTCATCTGTGAAGAAGGACAAGAAAGATCTGCAGTTTCACTTCTCTTCTCTCCCGAGTCTTGCAGCAGAGATGATGATCTCTGGATTTCCACTGGAGCTGATGGATGGAGATGCTGCTCATGTTCCTCTGGTCTGGATCTCTGCTGTTATAAATGAACTCATCCAGAAACTGGGAGACCAAAGAGTCTTTGTGCTGTCAGTTTTAGGGCTTCAGAGCTCTGGGAAATCCACCATGCTGAACGCCATGTTTGGACTCCAGTTTGCCGTCAGTGCTGGCAGGTGCACCAGAGGAGCTTTCATGCAGCTGATCAAAGTCTCAGATGAGATGAAGACACGGATGAACTTTGACTATATTCTGGTTGTTGATACCGAGGGTCTTCGTGCTCTAGAACTGACTGGAAGTTCAACAAGACATCATGACAATGAACTGGCCACATTTGTTGTTGGTCTTGGAAATCTTACCTTGATCAACATCTTTGGAGAAAACCCAGTTGAGATGCAGGACATTCTTCAGATTGTTGTTCAGGCCTTCATGAGGATGAAGAAGGTCAGACTGAATCCCAGCTGTGTGTTTGTGCATCAGAACGTCTCAGACGTCACAGCTGGAGAGAAAAACATGGAGGGAAGGAGACGACTTCAGAAGACACTGGATGATATGACAAAACTCGCTGCTAAAGAGGAAGTCTGTGATGCAGAATGTTTCAGTGATGTCATTAGATTTGATGTACAGAATGATGTGAAGTATTTTGCTCAGCTCTGGGAAGGAAGCCCACCGATGGCACCACCAAACCCAAACTACTGCGAGAACATTCAAGAGCTAAAAGAATATATTCTTTCAAATACTGCAAAATCAAATGGAATGATTCTGACAAATCTAAAAACTCATATTAAAGATCTCTGGGAGGCTTTACTGGATGAACAATTTGTCTTCAGCTTCAGAAATTCTCTGGAGATTTCAGCCTACAAGAAACTGGAGACCGAATATAGCAAGTGGACCTGGAGTCTTCGCAGAGCCATGAAGGAAACTGAGAACAAACTACACAACAAAATAGAAAATGAAACAATTCATAGGGTTGAGGAAACTGATCTTCAAAGAGAACTGAAGACGGCAAGTGAAGATGTGGAAAAATCAATGTCTGAATTCTTTGAGAAAGACAGAGATAAAGATATACTGATTCAGTGGAAAACATCATTTGAAATCAAAATCAAGGAGCTTGAGGAAAACATTGTGAGAGAAACCAAGAGGAAATTAAATGAGGTTCTTCAGCAGCGAGACCTGAAGAAAAAGATTGATGTTCAGAGGACACATCATGAAAACACTCTCTATGAAAAGAGCATAGAACTTGCCTTAAAACTGAAACATAAAGCAAATGATAAAGAAACACTGAAGAAAGAGTTTGATTTGTTTTGGAAACAGAGTATTAAGAAGATCATCTCAGACACTCCTCCAATCAAAGACATTGATATAATGAGAGATGTGAGAGAGATCCTCAGAGACACCAATAAAAGTGTTTCTGTAGACCTCTGGAATGAGAGCAGTGAGTGCAGGGATATCTTCTTTGTGTCCAGTTATGCAGACTATCTACAGTTAAAGAAAACCAGTGGATTTAAAGAAACTTTCAACAGAGTAACAAAAGATATGTTTGGTCGTGCTCTACCTAAAGAGTTTGACACCCAAGTGAAAACATTTGTCACAGATGTTGATCAGCAAACAGAAAAAATTATTCAGCCATATAACATTTCAAAGATGGGCTACAACAAGAGCTGCATTCAAGAACTCATAGATTATATCAAGAGAAGAGTAACTGAACATCAGGACGGACCAGGTCTGTATGTGTTCAAAAATGAATTCTTCATGGATTTGGTTCTTTCCATCTGTAAGAGAGCAAACACGATTATCACTGACCAACACAAATTGTTCAAGGAAGCCAATGATCCTGTTATATATCTTGAGAAGAAGAGAAAAGGGAACTATAATATTTTCCAGAAATATTGTCATGAAGCATCATCAGTGGCCATTTTTGGTCAGATCATCTGTCAGAAACTGAAAGAGCCCATTGAGCAGAGTGTCTACAAGAAGATTGCCAGATATCTGGCAGATGAAATGAGATCAAACTGTTCATCACTGAATGGAAACAGATCAAAACTGGAGAAATACATCCTGAAGACACTGGCAGAAGAGGAGGATTTTGACAAATACATGAACTACATTCATAATCCCAGAGATCATCTCAAGAGTTTCATCAGAGATGAAGTCAGTCGGTACATCACTGATAAGTTCAGTGTCAGTGTTTTACCCAAGATGGAGAAGAACATTGAACTCCTGCAGCAGAAGATCGTGGAAGCTGCACATGAATCTACTAAACATGTTCAAGAGAATGAAGGAGATGCTGGTTTGTGGTTGAAGAGCTTCACACAGCGGCTCTCAGATGTGCTGATCTTCTCTGTAAAAGACCTCAGTGGAGTGAAACATTATGATGTTGATGTGAAATTCCTAGAAGATGTGATAAGACAAGAACTTACTGTCACAATATCTGATATCAATAAAGAGTTGAACACAGATACACTTGACAAAAATCTAAACTGTGAGTTCAGACCAGAAGAGATTTTGATTGATCACTTGTGTCAGTGCTGTTGGGCTCAGTGTCCGTTCTGTGGAACCGTCTGCACCAACACCGTACCAAACCATGATGGAGATCACAGCGTTCCTTTGCACAGAGTGACAGGTCTCAAAGGCTGCCATTATAGAAATGTACATCTCAGTGCTGATTTTTGCACAACTTTAGTGGCAAGTAAAAACAGATTTAATGTATCAAATAAGTGGGTTTCTCTTAAAAAATACAAAAAAGCAGGAGGAGTCTATGCAGACTGGAAAATAACCCCTGACCTCTCTCAGCTGCCTTACTGGAAGTGGTTTGTGTGCCGATTCCAGAAAGACATAGAAAATCACCACAATAAAACATTTGAGGGAAGTGGAAAGATCCCACAAGAATGGAGAAAATGCACAAAACAGGATGCTATCAAGAGTTTGGATGAAAGCTTTAAAATAAGTACACGACTGTAAAATACAGAAATTGTGTGTAGGGTATATGATCCATTTGAAATAGCCTACTTAATGGAGAACTCTGGCGCAAAATGAACCTTTGGTCTAATAAAACATTGGTACCTAGTCAACCATTCAGTAAAATTTGTTTTTATGATAATCAAATGTAAAGAGTTTATGTGCACTAGTATATGGGGGCAAATAATAAGTAAAAAGAAATCGTTAATACCACTAACAAGGCTCAAAATAGCCCCACACTAATGTGACGAGTGAATGTTGTTACACTAGATTATTGACATAATTTAATCAAGAACAGTATTATTTTATGGGACTCTTATTTTGAAAACCTTTGTTTTGGAAACTCCACTGTTGCTAATGGTAATGTGATCATAAATTTAATAATTTGCATTGTTTTCAATTCTTCATACATGTATATTGTTATTCTTTTTGTATTACTTTTGGTTTCACTCTTGATAAATATTTTTACACTAAATTAAGGAAGCACTATTACGTAAGCTGCGTTATGCGTGAGGGTAATGCTGATGCAATTTGCGTGCGCGCTCTCTCTTTCGCTGGATGTTGTGGCGAGAGGTACGTTTTTATCGGCTCCTCGAAGAAGTGTATAAATAGGTTTTATTGAGTGTTGTATAAGGATTTTCTGTAGGTAATGAGTTTAATCGTTGTCTTTTCTGTACTGAGCAATCAACAAGATGGGTTATAAATGTGATAAGAGCATGTTTGATCTAAGTATATTCGATTAATGACCGCAGTTACACGTGCGATATGCTTGTGAGTTTGGAACAATATATTTTTCGTTAACCTGTACAGTTGAATTTAATTTGAGTTATACATTGGTAATTGTGTATAGTTATATTTGTTTATTTTGAAGGATCCATGCGATGTTCAAATGTATTTTCTTTATATGAATTTACATTGTAGTGTGTTGATTGACAGGCACGGCTAGACCGGAAATGTCCAAAATGTGCTTGACTGTGATCGTGTCTGTTATTTCTTTTGACACAGGTATGTAAATGGATCATTCACTATTGTTAGTTTTCTATATTTTTTATTTTTCTTTCTTTTTATTACTTCATTTATTTCTATGATTGTTAAACGCTCTCTTTCGCCGGATGTTGTGGCGAGAGGTACGGCTAGACCGGAAATGTCCAAAATGCGCTTGACTGTGATCGTGTCTGTTATTTCTTTTGACACAGACACAGCAAGGCTGAGAGTAAAGAGAAACTAAAGTATATCACTGTGTGGGATCTCTTTCTTTAAAAAAGCAAACACAACGCAGAAGAAAACCCACTACACTAACACAGTAACATAATGAGGGTCCATACATGCAAAATGAAGCATTGAGAACTTTGTAAGTGTACAGACCGTTTAATAAGAAGATACTTTATAAAGACAGTTCACTTCGTGTATACAGACAGGAGCCATCTTTCGGAAACATTCTCGATCAGTCGAACCACGAACGACGTGCAAAGTGAGCTGAACTGTATGAACAATGTTCGTGACTGCACTAACTGCAGGACAGGACTGCACTAACTGACCATTTACAGTTGACGCTTCATATCCTTGAGTTTTTCCAAAATGGATACACATATCCTTTGTTTTGGATATATTCAGTTGAAGGTGCGACTCCTCAGACCATTGGACAAAGTCTTCAATTATTGGATCATGACCTCTGTCATTTTTATGGAGCAGGCTTACTTTGACGAAGTCATCCGCATATTTGATTATGGTTCTATTTACATATTTACTCTGACACGTGTTTGTATATAAAATGAACAAAATGGGTGAAAGTACACACCCCTGTGGTAAACCTGTGGAAGAGCAAAGCTGACCAGACAGAGCTCCATTCACCTTTACTCTCTGTGTCCTGTTTGTTAAAAAATCTAAAATCCAACCAATGAGACTAGAACCAAAATCAAATTGCTCAATAAGATGGTTGGCTAAAATATATGGTTGAATTGTGTTAAAAGCAGATGAAAAATCAATTTGTGCATGGGACCCACTTCCTTCAAGATGTTTGAGGAGCAAATGAAGCAGAGTGAGTGGCATCTTCTACACCTCTGCGTGGCCTGTAGGCAAATTGCATGGGATCCAATGCATGTTCATGTATCCTTAAAATATGTTATCTTATTCAAAATTCTTCATTAAAATTGAGGTGAGAGCTACAGGTCTAAAATCTTTTAAAGTTTTAGAACTGCTGCATTTTGGAACTGGGACCACTACCGCATCCTTCCAAATTTTTGGTACATGTTACGTCTGCAGGGATTTATAAAAAATAAATTGGAATATGTGACTCTCTTATACATGTTTTTATCACGTGCCCACAAATGTTATCAGGTCCATGACTTTTATTAATCTTTGTCCTTCTAAAGACATTTTCAACATCTTTATATGTGATGTTGAAATGTTGATTATCTTTGAATTTATGTTGAAGTCCTAGGACCTCTTGACTAAAATCAGAATTCAAAATAGGGCTGAACGATTAATTGCATTTGCGATAAAATCGCGATATGATGAAATGCGATTTTGTAATCGCAAGAGCTGCGATTGCACTGGTCACGTGACAAGATCAAGCATCAATTTGCAACGCTACGCGGTCTGGCGTTCAGAAGAGAACAGTTTATTTTTTAATGTATGTGATATTGTGTTATTTATTCTCTCCTCAACAATCCTGGATCGATTCAGAGAATTTCAGAATCGAGCCTGAGCTTAGTTTTTAAACACGGATGCGTGATGACGCTGCGCGTGCTTCAGAAACGAACCGTGTTCTGCTTGCTTCTATGGGTTTTGCCGCTTTGCTTGATGCTATACTTGCAGTGCGCGTTCTCTCCCGCAGGAATTTTGCTTACAAATGCTTCACAGAGGCATTATTTATGTCTTTTGGAATGCACTGCAGTTGGCTTAAAACTTTGAAAATCACTGAGAAGGCTGCTTTCATTTTAAAATACTAACGCACGCTTTGTGAAGAGCACTCGTGCATGCGGCCGTGAGCGACTCATTGGTAAAATGTGCATAAACTTGCATGTCAAAATGCTTTTATGACGCAAAATTAATGTAAACACGGTCAGTTCTTAAACCAACAGGACAAACCACATTTACAATTTCAAGAGATATGTGCATTAGTGTGAATGCAGCTTATCATATCTAAACTGAGGGGGAAAATCACTCCAGTTCTTGAATGATGAACATTCAGACAGCCTACTTTTAAATACAGAGACCACTCTTTCTTTATTGCTTTTTTTTGTTTCTCTTTATTTACTAGCTTTTATATGTTGAAGATATATTATTTTATAAAGCCTATTTAAAATTCCTAACATTGGTTTAATTAAATGTTTAGGCCTATTTTTTATTTTTTAAAGTATGTGTTTTTACACATATAATTAAATACATATTTTAAGTGTTATTAAGATTAATTAATAAAAAAAAGTAGATCGGATCATGAGCTGCCTAAAGATTCCCATCCCTACTGTACAATGATTTATTGCTTATCTTTGTCGACTAATACAGAAGGTAAAGAACTTTTTTTAATCGCATGTTAAATCGCAATCGCAATATTGGTTAAAAAAAAAATCGCAATTAGATTATTTTCCATAATCGTTCAGCCCTACTTCAAAACGTGTACAAAAAGAATCAAAAGCATTGGCAAGCTCCGCATCGGATCCAAAACCTTCTGGAAAGACATGGCTACTATTACTGTGCTTCTGGGTACCTGCTATCTTTTTCATACAGGACCAGGCAGAGCCAATGTTATTTTCAGCCATTCTTTTTTCAAGTTTAGACTTATATCTCTGTTTTGCTTTATATATCTCACTTTTAAGCTCTTTAGTGGCTACATGTAGATCAAAGGCAGTTCCCTGCTTATGAGCATGTCTTTTTTTTCTGTATACTATCTTTCATAGACCTACTCACCCAAGGTTTATTATTAGGGTATATCTTTACTTGTTTGCAGGGTGTAATCATATCTCTACAAAAGGCCACATATGAACAAAACAGCATCAGTCATTTCATCCAAGTCCTTGCAAGAGTCTTTAAAAATATCCCAATCGTACAATCGTAACACTCCCGGAGGCACATTACTGATTCCTCAGTCCATTCTTGTACTGTCTTGGTTTGCACTTTATCCCTTTTAAGGACAGTTCGATAAGTGGGAAGGAGTTGTATACAATTATGGTCTGCAGAGCCCAATGGGGGCAGTGTCATCGATTTATAAGCATCTTTTATTGAGCCATAACAGAGGTCCAATGTCTTATCCTGCAGTATGAGCAGTGTTCAAATCTAAAATTGTCAAGCCACCATTCTGGCGATCATTGTTTACTTTAGTTGGGCTCTTGACCCTTATATAATTAACTTTGGATTTTGTTTGGCTGTTGTATCTGAGTGATAATCAATAAAAACAAAAAGTGATGTAATGGTGTTGGTTATATTATGAAAATCATCATTTAAACTTTATGTTTGTTATTTATTCTGTTGGTTACAGTATAACTGTGATTCTGCATAAATATCCAGAATTTTGGATATAATATAAAGGATTTCTTAAAAGTTGTTTAAAAGCAAAAGACATCAGACATCAAGATTCAGTCAATGTATCTCAACAATGGTGACGAGCAGAATATTCAATTAGGGAAAGTAAATTACATAGACTATTCAGATTATAATTGATTCATAATTTATTCCCAATGCATTATGGGAGCCATTAATGAGTTTGGCAGCAGCCACTGCAACATGGATTATTATTGTCACCATTGTTGAGATTCACAGGCTGATTATTGATGTCTGTGTTTCTAAATTAACTCATTTGAAAGGATTTTGATCAGAACAATGTTTATTGAATATTTTGGATTATAAGAAAAATACTGATAATCATTTGCTGTAGAATGTCAAAGCTATTGCTAACAAGTTAAACCAAAGTATTTCAATGAGTTTCATTTCTCAGATCACAGCATGATTACAGCAAAACATAACCAAGACTATCAGATCACTTTTCTTTGTTCATTTGAAAGTATAAGGGTCAAGAGCCCAACTAAAGCAAACACTGATCGCCATAACGGTGATGTCACAGTCTGTCGTCTTCACCAGTGTGTCCCGTCATCTGCACCACACTTCCCCGGATCCTTTTTTTCCTCTCCCGGACTCACTCCCCAATCAGCCACCTGTTCTTCGTCCTGTCATTATCATTTTCACCTGTGTTCACCTCATTAGTCCTGATTCCTCTGTGTATTTAGTTCTCCCTCCTTCAGTCTGTCTTGGTCGGTAAATGTGTTAATGTTACCCTGTGTTCCGCCTGCCTGTATCCAGTTTATTTGTGATTTAACCTTTTGTATTGGAGCCTTTTGGACTCTGCCTGTTCGTCTGCCTGCACCCACCCCGTGACAGATTGACCGACCCAACTGCAACATGACCGCAGTGACTTTTCGGGGGATACTCTACCCGATTCGGCGGCCCCGCTTGATTCTGGTCCCCCGAAAGCCTGCGCTCACAGTCAGCCCTGCAAAGCTCGAGCTCTCCTCTCCGCTGGTTCCGTCCAGCCCCGCCGAGTTCGAGCTCTCCTCTCCGCTGGTTCCGTCCAGCCTCGCCGAGCCCTCTTCTCCGCTGGTCCCGTCCAGCCCCGCCGAGCTCGAGCTCTCCTCTCCGCTGGTTCCGTCCAGCCTCGCCGAGCCCGAGCTCTCTTCTCCGCTGGTTCCGTCCAGCCTCGCCAAGCCCGCGCTCTACTCTCCGCTGGTTCCGTCCAGCCCCGCCGAGCCCAAGCTCTCCTCTTCGCTGGTTCCGGCCAGCCCCGTCCAGACCGTCCAGCCTGCCCCAGAGACCGTCCAGCCAGCCCCAGAGATCGTCCAGCTTACCCCAGAGACCTTCCAGCCAGCGCCAGAGACCGTCCAGCCAGCGCCAGAGACCGTCCAGCCAGCACCAGAGACCGTCCAGCCTGCCCCAGAGACCGTCCAGCCAGCGCCAGAGACCGTCCAGCCAGCGCCAGAGACCGTCCAGCCAGCGCCAGAGACCGTCCAGCCTGCCCCAGAGACCGTCCAGCCTGCCCCAGAGACCGTCCAGCCAGCGACAGAGATCGTCCAGCCTGCCCCAGAGACCAGGATCCCACCCAGCCTCCCTCTCCCACCTCCTCCTGTCATGCATCCGTCAGCCCCTCCGTCTGCCAGCTCCCCTGACCCAGTCTGGTCGTTAGATCCCCGGCCTTCGCCTCACACCTCCTCCATCTGGACACTTCCTCGGCCCCCGGTCCCATTGGCTCCCCCGTGGCTCCTACATCCCTCAGCTCCTCCTTGGCCCCTCAGTCCACCACCTCGGCCAGGCTCCTTCGACCCTCCGGATTCCCTGCGCTCCCTCGTCATCCTCCCTTCACCTTTGGACTTCCTCCCCTTGGCTCCGCCCTGTCATGTCACCCCCCCGGTTCTGTCGGACTCCTCATTCCCTCCAGTCACCCATCGGCCCTCACTCCCTCTGCCCTCACCATGTCCCTCTGTGCCCGTCGTCACTTCTGTCACCCGAGCCTACGGTGTCACCATGGTCCCTCGGTCCCTCTTCAGCACCCGATGTCGTCTGTCCCTCTGCTTCACCCTGGTCTCCTCCCCCATCTGCTCCGCCCCTGTCAGTCGACCACCTGGTGTTGTCAGCCATCGGCTACACCAGGGGTCCTCCCTCCATCTGCTCCGCCCTGGTCTCGCCCTCAGCCTGCTCCGCCCTGGCCACGCCCTCAGCTTGCTCTGCCCTGGTCTCGCCCTCAGCCTGCTACGCCCTGGCCTCGCCCGCAGCCTGCTACGCCCTGGCCTCGCCCTCATCCTGCTCCGCCCTGGCCTCGCCCTCATCCTGCTCCGCCCTGGGGGGGGGGGCTTCTCCCTCCTGACCACGCCCTCCACAGCCTCCAGGGCGCCCACCCCCCCTCCCCATTGATGTTACGGCGTGAGGCCACGCCTACTGGGAGGGGGGAGTGATGTCACAGTCTGTCATCTTCACCAGTGTGTCCCGTCATCTGCACCACACTTCCCCGGATCCTTTTTTTCCTCTCCCGGACTCACTCCCCAATCAGCCACCTGTTCCTTGTCCTGTCATTATCATTTTCACCTGTGTTCACCTCATTAGTCCTGATTCCTCTGTGTATTTAGTTCTCCCTCCTTCAGTCTGTCTTGGTCGGTAAATGTGTTAATGTTACCCTGTGTTCCGCCTGCCTGTATCCAGTTTATTTGTGATTAAACCTTTTGTATTGGAGCTTTTTGGACTGGCCTGTTCGTCTGCCTGCACCCACCCCGTGACAGGTGACTTACAATTTGTGATTTTCTCCTTCAGTGATTCTGCTTGTTAACATCAAGTGTCTTCAATAATGCTCAATCATCACTAAATTAATCACTTAATCATCTCATTAACTTTAACACTCTTGAGTGTTAAATAACACTCATATCTGCATCATCTTCCATCTGAAAGCAGGTGAAGGTGATTTACTACTAATCAATACATCAAGAATCAGCATATGGATCACAACAATGGTGACTATGAAAAAAATCTGATCAACTATAAAGTCACAATTGTTGAGATTCATATGGCAGAGATTTAATATTCACAAAATGTGTGGGTCTAGGTAAAAAATGTAGTTTTCCTGAAAACTATTGAAATGGATTTATAGCGTTTTGGAAAAAACTCCTCATATATATATATATATATATATATATATATATATATATATATATATATAATTTCAGATTGTTATAATACTGATGCCAAAACATTTCACTGGTCATGTGAAAAATTATGACATTAATCATAGACTTTTAATAAAACAATAGTCCATCTATATATAATCTTATCTAATGTATTCAGATTTGACTGTTATATCAGAGAATCAGTTCACCACATGACGACTATAACATCACCAATAAATGAGCCATGATCATCTGATATGTTCTCCTGCATTTATTGCCATAATAAATGTTTTTCAAAACACAGTTAAAGCAACCACAGATAAACTACTGTTAAAATCTCAAGGGTCAAGAGCCCAACCAAACACTGATCTCAATCATGGTGACATCAAATTTCTGTTAAAGTTTTTAAAACTTTATTTAATAACTGTCACCGTCCCACAGGTGGGACGTTTGCCACTATATTTTTAAAACAATAATATCTTAGTAAATACCTTAAATAATATTGACAAACTATATATCATTTGAAAGCTTACAATCTCTAGTTTCCAGATTTTCAAAATATATTACAGAGGAGCCATAATTTATCAATATAAAACAAGAATATTTTCATACTCATAAGGCGTGTTCAGACCTTTATTTTAAAATAGCAGTAAACATGAAAAATCATGAAAAAATGGTAGATACCTCAGTTTGTTTTCATGCCAAAAGTTCAAAAGATAGAATCCATTCAATTATTTTGGGAAAAAAAAGGTCTGAAAAGTTTGAAATATCAAGAAAAAAATAATAAATTCACCATTTGTGACGTGGCAGCTAGCTATGACTTACATGCGTGTTCTTTGTATGTGTTTCTTAGAGGTTCAATTCATATCAAAATCTGCCAAACTTCCCATGCTACTTCTGAATAGGATCTCTACTTCAGAAATTGTATGAAAATTGTGAAAATAATGGTTCATATCACTCAAAACACGAATGGAAATGCAGGCGCCCTTATATGGGCAGTAATGGAGTCTGATTGTGCCCTAGTGAAAAAGTTTGGTACTGCGCTCAAGCAAAATCTTACTGAAAGCTAATTTTTTGAGATATCAACCTAAAATTTGAAACACAACTTGTTCAGATTTTTGGCTTTGATCTTTCTGCCATTTTAGAGTAGCCCAGGTTTTGAAAATATATATTTTATGTAAAATATGAATAATTAATATTTTTGCATTGTACATTTCCATAAACTCAAACTTCTATAACTTTTTTTCTGTTTCACTTTCTTAATTTATTTCACTTCTACAAAAATCTGCCAAATGTCTTCTTTAAAACAAGACCAATCATATGTCTATATTCCAAAGCATTCTTGAATTACAACCATTTAAGTTCGAAATGTGCATTTTCATGTCTATTCAAAAAAGGGGGGGTGACAGTTAACAGGTTAATGTTGCAGTTTTTGGGGGGCTGCCAGTCATTTAACCATTTTATCATTTAACTATTTTTCTACTGTTTAATCACAGATTATATTTGTAATTTTACATACATTTTTATGTAACAAAAAATACTGTATGAAAAATACAATCAATTTTCTGTATAAAAAATGTGAATTACTGGAATTTGTCATTAATGTCACAATACTTAAAATAACAGCTGCCTTTTTATTTTACAGATATTATGTGTCATTTTACAGTGTTTTGAGTACAATTTAAAATTAAAAGAAATTTATTTTTTGTAAAATTAGGATTTTTTTACAGTGTAGGGGAGACGGTGAATAACCCCTATTAAAAAAACGTGGCGTGTTCCTTTAAGTCCATGTGATTTTATGTTTCAGGGCTGCAAAGCATTAACTCCCTTCAGGTGCAATAAAGTATATATTATCTTATCTTTTGGATCCAAACCATCTACTGAATCATTATAGTTTCCCCAATGTCATGTGGTTTAGGCTATTGGAAAAAGGTCATATCTGGTCTATATAATTCTGAAGGTCCCATGTTTGGTTCACTTGCATATTGTGAGTTCACATACTCAAGGATAAGGGTTTTAAATCAAAATAACTAATACTCAAAGAAACATACTTTGTATATGTTTAAGAAACTTCAATAAGTTTTGCGTATGCAGAGTTTGGATTTGACTACTTAATAGGAATCCTTTTTTATTTTTTTTTCCCAATATTTAAATCATGGATTTATTGATGAACTATATGGACATTTTGGTTAAGTAGTCAGATTTTTCAGGTGTTCTTGGAAAACCGGGAAGGAATTAACAATAATAGTCCATTCAGTGGAGACAGGTGAGGATCTGGAATAGTAAGTTGCTCTATTCGATGTTTGGAAATTGTACATTTTGAAAAGCCCCTTGCATTAATCAGACTGTTCTGTTAAAAACTGAGAAAAAAATCATTATCATAACCATATTATTGTGATTAAGAGTAGAGCCTGTGCTTCAGAAGAGGATTAGCAGAGAAACATTGATGTTATGCTGCATGTTGCTTTATTTTAGAGGCAGTAAATGTTTAATTTCTGATATAGTGATGTCTATTACATTAGTTCATGTATACTTTTACAAACTAACAGTTAGTTTTAAATTGAGTGAAAGTAACTCATGTGCATACACAACACAGTAAATACATTGTAAATGTTCCCTACAGAACACAGTAATTATATAGATTTTTTTTAAATATGAAATGCAGCAAATCCTTATTTATTGTTCAATAAATTGCAATATATCAATGCAATATACCAATATATTAAATTGCTTAAAGTATTCAAAAATATACAGAATAATATTTCTGTATATTTTTCAATACTTTAAGCAATTTAATATATTGGTAAAGAATTATGGAAATATATTTCCTTTCCATAAAAAAATGTAGTTTGTGCTAGTTTTGCCATTAAAAACTGGAATACAGTGAATGACCAAAAGACTTTCAGCATTGTGTCATTATCAGGTTCAGAGTACACATACTTACGCACACACACACACACATAGCAAAATCCCCAGTGTTAAATTAACACTGAAAAGTGTGAATTATATAAACTCTGAGCAGAGTGTTAAATGAACACTGAAACAGTGTTAGAGTTAATGAGATAATTAAGTGATTAATTTATAGTGATGATTGAGCATTATTGAAGACACCTGATGTTAAAGGGGTCATATAATGGTACATGCACTTTTACAAGTTGATTGTACTGCAATGTGTGTTGTCAGTGCCTGTACACAACTATCATTTAACGATAAAAATCCATCCAGTGGTTTTGTTTTAATCTCCTTATTATTTGTTTTCCCATCTCAAATGAGCCGCTCAACCGTGACGTCACACGGTCGCACGCCCCTCCCGCGGTTGTTGATTGACAGCAGTGTTTCAACACAGACCCGCCCTGAGCGAGCTGTCATCATAGACCATCATTGTTGATAAACTGTTGTTCTGTTCTTGGGTGCAATAACAAACACAGAAATCATTCTGATGTTCCTAAATTTGAACCGCTGAAGACGCAGTGGCTGAGTTTTGTTTACGATGGGAATATTCCCCACGATCAACGTCAATACTTTCTTGTTTGCACGAATCATTTCTCACCAGACTGCTTTATAAGCGAGGACCAGTATAAAGCTGGTTTTGCTAAGAAGCTGCTCCTGAAAAAATAATCAGTACCAACTGTTTATGTTCCCTCTGAACCTAAAGTTTTATTAATCTTTATATTAATATTTGCAAATCGCGGGGAAAAAGTTTTTCATTACCATTATTGTAACGTCAATCTGTCAATGAACTAACGTATACATCAGTAAACACACAGCATTCGTATCTCACTACTCTTAACTGCCAGTGCATACAAAGATAGATTAAAGTAACATTACGTTAACCAACCATTCAGAAATGTCCTCAAGCCTTAATTGTCGAACTTCTTTGCGGCCGTCATCTTGTTCTGGTGAACAGTTACTCCAGTTCAAACTGATACGGTTGCGCAGATGTGTCCTCAGAGACTCCCGCTGCCTCTCCAAAACCTTCAACTGTTGTCAAGGCAACACTCCACGTGCATTCACGCCTGCAGAACAGAGGGGCGGGGTTTATTATTTAAAGGCATATGACACTCAAACAACTTGCTGAAAACAAGAGCTGATTTTGACCAGGTAAAATGGTGTTTTCTTAAAATACTCATGAGAATTTTTAATAAAAGTATATTACAAAGTTTTCATTTAGACCCTAAACATTCATATTAACTTGTACAAAATGGCATTATATGACCCCTTTAACAAGCAGAACCACTGAAGGAGAAAACCGTAATTTTTAATCACCGTTATGGTGATTATTGTTTGGTTTAGCTGGGCTCTTGACCCTCAATTCATTATCTTTAGATTTTGTTTGGCTGTTGCATGTGACTTATATAACAGCCAGATGAACAAATATAAAAAGTGATCTCATGGTGATGGTTGTGTTTTAACATAATCAGTATTTCACAATCACTTGGCCTGAATCACTGAACTCATATAGAGCCTAATTTCTGAATTAGGTTTACTTTATTAATTATAGCAGCAGTGACCTTGTACAGCATAATATTTTTAACGTTTACAATGTATTCAATATAATTTCTTAAAAGATTCTCTTACACAATATTTTACTTTTCTATATTTTTTCAAAGAGACACAAGACATCAATAATTAGCATGCGAATCTCAACAATGGTGACTATTATAAAGCACGTTGCAGTGTATTCTGGGTGCCACCAATCGAAACTCATTCATGGCTCCCATCATGCATTACTGCGTGAATAAATAATGAGTTTATGTTCAGAGGTGTTCTGTTTGTCACCATTGCTGTGATTAATACGCTAATTCTTGATGTCTATGTGTGCATACATACAATTTTGGGGGGATTTTTTTTTTTATTTGATCGTATGGATTTCATTGAAAGGCTAAAAATGTTATGTTCCAAAATGTTCGTGCTGCTAAAAGCCATAAGATAAATTTAACTCAGAATTTATTTTCTTGATGAGTTTAGCAATTCAGGTCAATTAATAATTATGTTAAAACACAACCAACACCATCAGATCACCTTTCTATCTGTTAATCTGGCTATTATAATTTAGGTAACACTTCCTTTTACAGTCCAGTTACCCATGTAAATACTATGTACTTATTTTAGTAACTACAATTACTAGGGAATAACTAGTACTAACCCTGAATCTACCCCTAAACCTACCCCTGTTCTATGTACTTACCTTATATTAGCCAGTACTTTCTAGGTAAGTACAATGTACACTGTAATTACTGTACTGTAAAAGGAAGCGTTACCATAATTCACATACAGCAACCAAACTAAATCTAAAGTTATGAAGGTATGAATTGAGGGTCAAGAGCCCAGCTAAACCAAACACTAATCACCATGATGGTGACTTAAAAATTACGGTTTTCTCCTTCAGAGATTCTGCTTGTTAACATCAGGTGTCTTCAATAATGCTCAATCATCACTCAATAATTCACTTAATTATCTCATTAACTTTAACACTGCTTCAGTGTTCATTTAACACTCTGCTCAGAGTTTATATAATTCTCACTTCTCAGTGTTAATGTAACACTCTCAGTGTTAATTTAAATATATTTATATATACATATTAGGGGTGTTACGAGATCTCGTCCCACGGTATGTCGCGAGACTAAAACATGACGATATTTCCCGTTTGAGTGAAAAGCTGTGTCGCGATATCACCATGACTGAGCGTGGGGGTGAGATTACAATATTCCACCGCTACTGTACACTCACATTCGCTTAAAGCTGCCGTCGGCAACTATGGCTGATTGAGTGGACTTTGGCAACATTTTGAATGTTTACAACTCATATGGCCCTCCCCCACTATCAACAAATACCCTGGATTATTTGGAGGTATGCTGCCCTGGCTAATCTACCAATATATTGCAATTGCCAACGTCATTTATACTCTAAATGAGTTTACTTGGTTTGTTAGTGTTCCGCCATCACTCTTCCTTACTGCGCGAACTTCAGGCGTGTGCATGTGATTGTAACGTGTGCGAGGGGTGGCGTGTGCCCGATCTGTGATTGACAGTCAGATCTCACACCCCCTGTGCTGATTTGACACGGTGAACAGGGAGCGCTGGATTTTTGCAAAACAAATAACACGCTCCAGATGGAGTTAGAAGCTCGTTTTTTCTAAAACCACTTAATTTATGTTGTTCTGTCGGATTATAGTGTCGATTTCAAAAAAAATGTTGCCGACGGCAGCTTTAAACTATTGTTTGGCTGTTTTTTATAATAAATAATAACCATTATAAACTAATGTAAAAGTCTTCTCTGCTCATCCATTACGAGTTGCCGCTGCAATCAGTGCAGCACGAATCCCAGTTCACTGATCGAACCCTGTGTGTGTGTGTGTGTTAAGAGTGAGCGCTCGTGAGCGGGAGACACACATAACCTGATTTATACGAGGTTGAACTGGCCGTGTGACAAAGCGGGCATAAGATGGACACGAGCGCACGCAATTGATCCATATATAATGCGCTCCGGATTATAAGGCTTGAGAAAAGGCCGGATTTAGAAAATTAAAGGTTTTTAAGTGCGCCTTATAGTGCGGAAAATACGAGTACTACTCTCTCTTTTAGACCAGCACGCGACGTGTTTAATATAGATGCATATTACACAACAGATTTTCTCTCAAATGTCTGCTTTCACTTTAGACATAGCCAATTCTGTTTATGTAAACATTGTGTGTATTTAACAGTATTAGCATAATAAGACTCGAAAGATAACTTAGTCCAGTATTCAGGCACTGTTTGACAGGCTTCTAGTGCCTGTGAGTGTCGGGGGTATGCCGCGCGCTCAGGAAAGCGCACGTTAGAACAGCGCGTGAATTAAATGTTTAACCGGCAAGGCTTATGCAAATAATGAACTTTTGTGAATTGCAGTGTCCCGTCAATCATTTCAATCCAGGTGATAATTCTCACAAGATCAGGCTACAATGAATGAAGAGAGCATGGACAACACCGCCACAACAGAGAGTAGAGAGAATCATGTGGTAAGTGTTGAGTAAATAGTAAAATTACCTTTGGATGTAAGAAAAAGCCTTAACCCTCAGGTGCTCTTCGGTCATTTCTGACCGAAAAATTTTCTGTTTTGAAATTTTAAAAATCACAGCTTCATCGGAATGTTACGAAACTTGGTGACTTTTATTCCATTGGGTATGTGAACACAAAAAAAATTGAGGTCATGATCCGAGCAGGCTAAGTGGTCGTAAAAAAAATAGTCACACTTGTGCTCTTCAGTCAAAAATGACCAACCATAGGAAAAGAATGGGAAATTGACAAAAACACAAAAACTTTGAGAATTTTTGTGTGTACAATCTACAAATTGGCCACGATGCAGAAAAAAAGTGCTCAGCATTGAAGGGGTGACACACTAAAATATCAAGAGTGCAAAACAGACGTACCCACCCCTACACACACACACTTTTATACACAAAAACACCAATAAATTGTGATTAAAGAAATCTGTTTTGAATATTTAAAAATCACAGCTTCTTCAGAAAATTATGAAACTTGGTGACTTTTATGGTATTGGGTATGTGAACACACACAAAAAATTGAGGTCATGATTCAAGCAATTTAAGTGGTTTAAATTTCAATTTAAAAAATGAGTCACACTTTTGCTTTTCTGTCAAAAATGACCGACCCATAGGAAATGAATGGGAAATTGACAAAAAAAAATTCTCTGAATTTTTGTACGTACAATCTACAAATCGGCCACAATTCTAAAAAAAAGTACACTGCAGGAAAGGGGTGACACTCTACAACATCTAGAGTGCAAAACAGACACACCCACTATACACACCAATACATTTTGATTACAAAAAGTATGTTTTGAATTTTTAAAAATCACAGGTTCATCGCAATCAATGTTACGAAACTTCGTGACTTTTATGGCATTATGTATGTGAAAAAAAAATGAGGTCATGATCTGAGCAAGCTAATTGGTCTTAAAAAAAGTCACTTTTGTGGTCTTTGGTCAAAAATGACCCCCATAGGAAATGAATGGGAAATTGTAAAAAAAAAAAAAATTTCTATATTGAATACTATATATTCAAATCCACCACCACCAACAACAAAAATGTGTTCATAAACATCTGGGGAATTCACATGCCTCTCCATAGAGAGCTGTGCATGCCATCTAGTGGTTACACCATGATTCTATGCTTTTTCTCTATACTGTAACCAGATGGTGCTAATTTTCTTCAATTTTTTTTTTCTGAAGGCCTAGACTCTATATTAAACTAAAATACTGCATTCATATTTTTTTTTTGAAAAAATAATTTATATATATAGAAAATATATATATATATATTTTCCCATGGCAAAAATAAACCATAAATATTGCATAAATATTAATAAATTTAATTAAATTGTCTCAAAATACTAAATTAAAAAGAATAAATATTATAGAACAAAAATAAATTGCATTGGTTTTACTGGGATGGAGAAAGTTTCATTTTTAGGTGTCCGGTCACTTTTGACCGGGAAGATACCAAGTGTGACTCCGAAACGAAGAGCACCTGAGGGTTAATAAAATTTGTAAAGACATTGGTTAACCTTTACTCAACAAGCACTTTTTACCTCAAACTAGCTTATAGCACATACACACATGCAGCTACAAATGTGTGGGATAAAAAAAAATGTTGGATCCTACATCCTATCTAGCAACCTCGAGTCAGGGGAGAGGGGGAGGGGATACACCGCTCTACAGTTATATAGCTACAGAAACTGATTGCAGTACCAGTTTTGGCCACAATCTTACATACAGCTCCTTTAAGTGATGATTGATCATAAGTGATGAACACCTGCTGTTAACAAGCAGAATCACTAAAGGAAAGAGAAACACAAGAAATATAAGGTTTAAGGTCACCATGATGGAGATCAGCATTTGCTTTAGTTGGGCTCTTGACCCTTGACGTGTAAGTTTTTCTTTAGGCTGCTGTAATTGAATGTTTATGAAACATTTGATATGGCTCAAAATACCAAGGAAAAGTTTGTTCGGGTGATGATGGTCAAGGTTTAATGATGACAATCATCACTTAATTACTTGATTAACTGATCTCATTCAAAACTACCCCAGATATCAAGAATCAACATATGAATCTCAACAATGGTGACCATTACAAATTATTCATACAGTAATGCATACTGGGAACTTCCATAATACAAACTTCATCCATGGCTCCCAGCATGCATTGTAGCATGAATCTTTTTGTGATGGTCACCATTGTTGAGATACATATGCTGATTTGTGATGCCTATATATATATATAGTCTCAGGCTGAATGCATGAGAGTTTGCAGCCAGGGGTAATAATGTCAGCGGCTGCAGCGCCATTTAGCATTTAGTTTACTACCTGAGGCTGTGAAATAATCCACTGCATTCCCTCACTCTCTCCCTCTCTCTGTCTATCTATCTCTATCAATCTCTCTCTCACACACATTCTCACATGATATAATGACTGAATTAACTTTTTGAATGATTTTATTGGCATTTATGTTGTTTCTATTGTTGTGTGAGGGTGTATATACCCTCAGGATGTAATGGCACTCTCTCTCTCATTAAAAAAATGTTTGTTTTTTTTAATTAAAAACATCTTAAACCATGTCTTATTCCAAATTAGGATGTTATTGTATCAATCTGAATGGGAAAACTATCGAATTGAATCTGCTTTGCATCTCTTTCCCCTCACTACCCTTGATGGTAGGTTGGCCAAGGGTTATATGCTGGGATCCCCCCATCCATTTTATTACAGAATCAAACACAAAATGAAAGTAACTGTACTGAGGGCTGAGTTTAGACACCCTTGCTCAATAATAATTTAATTAATAACTTCTCACCAAATCCAACACGGATTCAACACTGCTTCATTGAGTGGTGTAAAACATATTATAGACCCCTTTTCAGTTGGTAAACATGGTGAAGTTTTTATGTGGGCGGAGCTTGGGTGGAGGTAGAATGATCCCTCTGGCCGCTTCACTAACGCTAGTTAGCAAGGTTTATTAGCTTGTTTTTTAACAATGACTGAAGAAAATCAGATTTTATCTTAATGTGTAAGGTCACTTAGTGTCAAGGGCCGCGATTGTTATTTTCAAAAGTTAATTTTAATGCACAGAACCAGATTGGCCGACCTGTAGCCTTCACAAGCTCACTCAATGCATGGACGATCTGACAGGATTAGTGCTAACATTACGTTACCTTGGTTCAGTGGCCTGACTTTTACACCTACCTTATAGAGAAACTGAAGGCATATAAATCTTAAGATGCCTATAACTATATGCTGAATGGTCATGTACAAGACTTGTGTGTATGATCCGCAGTTCGGCCGAGCCAGGCAGAGACGACGACAATGTAAAGAGTGACATTAAGGTGCGATTTTAATGATGTGAATATTTTCTAGAAATAAAAAGTCCAGATACAGCATATTCATTTTTCATTGATACTTGCACCAAACAACACAATAAGATTATATTTAATAATAATAAAAGCAATTTAAGCTCCTTATTATGTAGTCGAATCTGTGCTGGTTTGCATTGGCCGCCTCCAGTTTTCACTTTGTTTTGCCTCCAGCTAGCGCCGTGACGTAACTGTGATTTATTTTGTTGTTACCTGTCACTACAGTTAAAGGGTTAGTTCACCCAAAAATGAAAATTAAGTCATTAATTACTCACCCCCACGCTGTACCAACCCCGTAAGACCTTCGTTCATCTTCGGAACACAAATTATTATATTTTTGATTAAATTTGAGAGCTGTCTCACTACCACATTGGCTACCTAAGGGACTGGCTCTTGACGGCCCAGAAAGTCAATGAAAAAATGTTTAAATATCCCATGTGACTACCGTGGCTCAACTATAAGTTTATCAAGCGACGAGAATACTTTTTGTGCGAAAAAACAAACAAAAATAACGACTTTATTCGACTATTCCTTTTCTTCTTTGTTGGCCTGAAACGAGACTTCCTTAGATTTCCACGATGCATGCGCGAGAACTGCGCTCTCCTTCAACTACTTCAGTTCAGTTCTCGCGCATGCGTCGTGGAAATCGTATTAAAGTCTCGTTTCAGGCCAACAAGGAAGAAATGGAATAGTCGAATAAAGTCTTTATTTTTGTTTGTTTTTTCACACAAAAAGTATTCTCGTCGCTTGCTAAACTTATAGTTGAGCCACTGTAGTCACATGGAATATTTAAAATATTGTTTGGAATTTGGAACATTGTTCCGAAGATGAACGAAGGTCTTACGGGGTTGGTACAGCATGGGGGTGAGTAATTAATGACTTAATTTTCATTTTTGGGTTAACTAACCTTTTAACTATCCACATACTGTATCCATATAGACCGTATACAGGAGGGATTTGAAAGCCATACATTTTAGTATATTGTCAATTAAAAAAATGTGAATGTAGCCATCGTCATCACTAAACTGTTCTTTATTTTACAGGCAAAAAAAGCTGAGCTTGGAACAGAAGGAATGGTACTGAAACAAGTACAGCATATCTTTGACAGACTTCATCTTGAAGAAAACCATGACAATAAACTGAGTGCTGCAGATGTTCTTCAGATAACTGAACATTCGTTACAGTCCCAAGAGTCTTGTGCTGAAGAGGGACTGATTCAGACTTTCCTACAAAAACTACTGATGATGAACTACAGAGCAAGATGCATTAATGTTAAAGAGAACAATGAACAGGATCGCACACAACAAAGAAGCAATGTCTCATCTGAGGATGACGGTGATATTTTTGATGACATGTCTTTGTCTAATGAACAAAGTACTCAGTCTGAGCGAATCCACCCAATGGATGTTCAGATGGCTGTGTTTCATTGTGCTGATGGTTTCCTGAAGCAGCTGATGATCACTAAACTGTCCCAGTGTCAGTACGCTCTCCCTCTGCTTGTTCCTGATCCAGACACACAACAGATTAAGTTTCCTTTCTGGACATTCAGACAAATCAACAAGAGCTGGAAGACGAGAACCACCAACAATGAAATCATCTGTCAAACCCGTCCGATCTACAAGGTAGAAACTCCAATGGTGTGTTTCTTCAGGTTTGGCTCTGTGTCTTCATCCAAGTCTCATCTGATGAACAGTCTGATCAATGAGAAACACAACACATTCTTCCACAGGAACTGTCCAGGCAGCAACAGAACCAGAGTCCTGATGGATGGAGTGGTGGAGATCGCCTGGTTTTGGCCCTCTGGGAAAAAAACAGATAGATTCACAGACTGTGTTGCGTTCTGTAATCTACATGGTGATGCAGGAGATCATGAGAAACAGCTGCAGATCCTCACTGAAATGGCCTCAGTCAATGTTGTTCTTCTACCACAACTTCAAAGGACTGCCAAACATGCAGCAAAGATCCAAAACCTGTACAAGGACAAAAAGCCACTCATTTATCTTTTTACTGAGGATGAATCTGCTGTGACTGAGACGAAGAAAGGGAAATTCAAAATTGGCCTGAAGGACAGAAATCAGTCAGATGTATCTGAAGAACTCAGAAGAACTATAAATGATTGTCTCTCAGAATCATCTTCCACTTTCAGCCTTGAAGATGTGTCCAAACACTCAGACATCAGAGTAGATGAGGAAGAAGACTGCAAGAGAGGAAGAGAAGCAGCACAGCAGATGATGAGTTTACTGGAGAAGAAAAATCTGACAGAAATCAAAGACTCATTTCTTCCTCATCAGGGGAAACTGTGGCATCAGTGGAGTCAGAAGAACAAAGAACTACATCGACCTCAAGGAGAAAAGACAGAAATGGACATCAGTATAAAACAAATGGATTTAAAGAAAATTCGTGAACTGCAACATGAATCTGATATCAGTGAGTTCATTAAGTTCTTTATTAAAAATCACTCTAATGCTGCAAATAATTTGTTTTTCCTTAAATGGCTGGGAATCCTCCTGGATGAATATACATCAGCTGACCTATCTGATCTACATCAGAAGTATGATGAAAAGTGGTCATCAGTTGTAAAACTGAAAGAGGATCATGCTAAACCTGAAAAACTGAAAGCTGAACAAGCAGAACTTGAGAGAATATCTGAGGATCTTCAAGCTGCAGCCTTTGGTTTGGAGCACATCATGAGGGAGATCGGTCAGATCTATGAATCATGTTCATCTGTGAAGAAGGACAAGAAAGATCTGCAGGTTCCCTTCTCTTCTCTCCCGAGTTTTGCAGCAGAGATGATGATCTCTGGATTTCCACTGGAGCTGATGGATGGAGATGGTGCTCATGTTCCTGTGATCTGGATCTCTGCTGTTATAGATGAACTCATCCAGAAACTGGGAGACCAGAAAGTCTTTGTGCTGTCAGTTTTAGGGCTTCAGAGCTCTGGGAAATCCACCATGCTGAACGCCATGTTTGGACTCCAGTTTGCCGTCAGTGCTGGCAGGTGCACCAGAGGAGCTTTCATGCAGCTGGTCAAAGTCTCAGACGAGATGAAAACACATATAAAATTTGACTATATTCTGGTTGTTGATACCGAGGGTCTTCGTGCTCTAGAACTGGCTGGAACATCAACAAGACATCATGACAATGAACTGGCCACATTTGTTGTTGGTCTTGGAAATCTGACCTTGATCAATATATTTGGAGAAAACCCAGTTGAGATGCAGGACATTCTTCAGATCATTGTTCAGGCCTTCATGAGGATGAAGAAGGTCGGACTAAAACCAAGTTGCATGTTTGTGCATCAGAACGTCTTAGACATCACAGCTGGAGAGAAAAACATGGAGGGAAGGAGACGACTTCAGAATTCACTGGATGAGATGACAAAACTCGCTGCTAAAGAGGAAGATTATGATGCAGAATGTTTCAGTGATGTCATTAGATTTGATGTACAGAATGATGTGAAGTATTTTGCTCAGCTCTGGGAAGGAAGTCCACCGATGGCACCACCAAACCCAGACTACTGCGAGAACATTCAAGAACTAAAAGAATATATTCTTTCAAATACTGCAAAATCAAATGGAATGATTCTGACAAATCTAAAAACTCATATTAAAGATCTCTGGGAGGCTTTACTGGATGAACAATTTGTCTTCAGCTTCAGAAATTCTCTGGAGATTTCAGCCTACAAGAAACTGGAGACCGAATACAGCAAGTGGACCTGGAGTCTTCGCAGTGCCATGAAGGAAACTGAGAACAAACTACACAACCAAATAGAAAATGAAGCAATTCATGAGGTTGAGGAAACTGGTCTTCAAAGAGAACTGAAGAAGACAAGTGAAGATGTGGAAAAATCAATGTCTGAATTCTTTGAGAAAGACAAGGATAAAGATATACTGATTCAGTGGAAAACATCATTTGAAATCAAAATTAAGGAGCTTGAGGAAAACATTGTGAAAGAAACAAAGAGGAAATTAAATGAGGTTCTTCAGCAGCGAGACCTGAAGAAAAAGATTGATGCTCAGAGGACACATCAAGAAAACACTCTCTATGAAAAGAGCATAGAAATTGCCTTAAAACTGAAAGATAAAGCAAATGATGAAGAAACACTGAAGAAAGAGTTTGATCTGTTTTGGAAAGAGAGTATAAAGAAGATCATCTCAGACACTCCTCCAATCGAAGACATTGATATAATGAGAGATGTGAGAGAGATCCTCAGTGACACCTATAAAAGTGTTTCTGTAGACCTCTGGAATGAGAGCAGTGAGTGCAGGGATATCTTCTCTGTATCCAGTTATGCAGACTATCTACAGTTAAAGAAAACCAGTGGATTTAAAGAAAGTTTCCACAGAGTAGCAAAAGATATGTTTGGTTTTGCTCTACCTAAAGAGTATAACACCCAAGTGAAAACATTTGTCACAGATGTTGATCAGCAAACAGAAAAAAGTATTCAGCCATATAACATTTCAAAGATGGGCTACAACAAGAGCTGCATTCAAGAACTCATAGATTATATCAAGAGAAGAGTAACTGAACATCAGGACGGACCAGGTCTGTATGTGTTCAAAAATGAATTCTTCATGGATTTGGTTCTTTCCATCTGTAAGAGAGCAAACACGATTATCACTGACCAACACAAACTGTTCAAGGAAGCCAATGATCCTGTAATATATCTTGAGAAGAAGAGAGAAGAGTACTATAATATTTTCCGGAAATACTGTCATGGAGCAACATCAGCTGCCATTTTTGGTCAGATTATCTGTCAGAAACTGAAAGACCCCATTGAGCAGAGTGTCTACAAGAAGACTGCCAGAGATCTGGCTGATGAAATGAGATCAAACTGTGAATCACTGAATGGAAACAGATCAAATCTGGAGAAACACATCCTGAAGACACTGGCAGAAGAGGAGGATTTTGACAAATACATGAACTACATTCATAATCCCAGAGATCACTTCAAGAGTTTCATCAGAGATGAAGTCAGTCGGTACATCACTGATAAGTTCAGTGTCAGTGTTTTACCCAAGATGAAGAAGAACATTGAACTCCTGCAGCAGAAGATCATGAAAGCTGCACATGAATCCACTGAACATGTTCAAGAGAATAAAGGAGATGTTGGATTGTGGTTGAAGAGTTTCACACAGCGGCTCTCAGACGTGCTGATCTTCTCTGAAAAAGACCTCAGTGGAGTCAAACATGATGATGTTGATGATTTCAACCTCCTAGAAGATGTGATAAGACAAGAACTTACTGTCCCAATATCTGATATCAACAAAGAGTTGAACACAGATTCACTTGACAAAAATCTGGACTGTGAGTTCAGACCAGAAGAAATTTTGATTGATCACTTCTGTCAGTGCTGTTGGGCTCAGTGTCCGTTCTGTGGAGCCGTCTGCACCAACACCATAGAAAACCATGATGGAGATCACAGCGTTCCTTTGCACAGAGTGACAGGTCTCAAAGGCTTCCATTATAGAAATGGAAATCTCAGTGCAGATTTTTGCACAACTTTAGTGGCAAGTAAAAACAGATTTAATGTATCAAATGAGTGGGTTTCTCATAAAAAACACAAAAAAGCAGGAGGAGTCTATGCAGACTGGAGAATCACCCCTGACCTCTCTCAGCTGCCTTACTGGAAGTGGTTTGTGTGCCGATTCCAGAAAGACATAGAAAATCACCACAATAAAACATTTGAGGGAAGTGGAAAGATCCCACAAGAATGGAGAAAATGCACAAAACAGGATGCTATTGAGAGTTTGGATGAAGGCTTTAAAATGGAGCAGATATACTGCAAGTCTGCACTAGCTACTGTGATTCCTTTATAGTTATTTGCGGAAGTACAAGACTGTAAAATACAGAAATTGTGTGTAGGGTATATGATCCATTTGAAATAGCCTACTTAATCTAAGAATCAAGTAAATCCCATTAACGATTCTGTTTAGAAATCAGGGATTTGGGTCATTTATGTATAATTATTATTTATAATTATCTCACCTAAATGTTTGCTCTGTCAGTTTATTTGTTTTTACAATGATAAATTTTTTTCTAAATTTATGTGAATGCTCAGCAAGATGGAATTTTAGACATTATCTGTGCATGCAATAGAGAAAAGCTCAGTGCATGCAGGGGGTGTGGCCTCAATAGCCCTGTAGTAAGTAGTGTGTGTGTGCATGTGATTGAGGAGGGTAGCAATTCAACTTAAAATTCATTACATTTGGTTGTTTTAGCCAAGAATATGCTAAACAATTTTTTTTCCAAGTACATTTAGGTTTCCTGTTTTCCCATTGAAATATTCCAGCCTGGGACATTCCCAGAATTTTGCAACCCTAGTACAGAATTATCCAAAAAGATGGGCTGTAATTAAAGCAAAAGGTGGCTTAAAGTATTACATCAGGGGACTTATGACTTTTCCATCCCTGTTATTCTAGTTTTTCAGGGATTTTTCAAAATGGATTCAGAACTTTTGCCATTTTTACTTTCATTTGATGAAGGCAACATTTGTATATAAAGGTGGAAAAGTTATTTTTTATAATAGGTTTTGATTTCAGGCTGTATGACAAATAAACTAAAACTTTTAAAGGGGTGTGATGATTTTCTATAGGGTATTTGGTAATATTGACATAGAGGTTGAAATGGGCACCGCAGTCCAAATTGAGAGTTGCATCTCCCGCCCCCTCGAGCGCAATTGACAATGGAAGGCAAGTGGCCTTAGACTGCAAGTTGATGAGTTAATTTATCCTAGTTTTAATATGTCTCAAGTCATTTCGATGAATACTGAGACATTTTAGGTTGGATAGAATCTGTGATCTTTGACCCAATTCGTTTTCAATAAACTCTTTCCACCAACTGGCAACCCAAGATGACAAAATATTATTGGGTAATGCACATTTCACAGTAGAATAACATTGTTTCAGAAAAAAAAAAATTGAACTTAGCATGTCTCCTAAATCTCTGCAAACATAGTATTTTTACGCTTTAGTACAGTCCAATATTTAATCCAAATTACTTACAGCGCCTTCAAATTCCATTCTAGAAATAACCAATTAATATTTAAACATCAAATTCTCTCACACCACAGAAATATCAAAGAAAGTTCATTTTAAAACAACCCTAAACAATTCTGAAATATACTCAACATAAAAGGGCATATTAACAGCTGTTTGAGAAATTATTATATGGAAAGAGACAGTTCTGATGCTTCCTTCAACTGAAAAACAGTGAATATTTCTGTGTATTAAAAAAACATTAGTGCTTCGTTTGAGACTACCATGTTAAAGGGATAAGATGAACCCGACAACCAATTTAATATCTCTCTTGACTATCCACAAGTTTCCTACGCCCCATTAGGTCTTGCGTCAAAAGTGGGCGCGTCTTCCGGTTCGAAGTAAACAAAGCGCGACTTGACATGCTTGACACTCGTTCATTCAACAGTTGACAGTCATTCAAGTTATAGCGATCCAAACTAGCTAACGATGTGGGAACGCAACCTCAACGAAATTCAAAAGGGTGAAATAACAGTACCTTTACCCTCTGCAGTAGTTGGTTGGGAGTATTATAATAACGTTATTAATAATCAATACTCATCAAGGCATGGTGACAGACAGTTGTGTGAGCTGACAAACAATTAAAATAAAAAATACACACTTAGTCATTGTGGTTTGGAGTTTATTCAAAATTATAAATGAATGTGCTACTTAACTGGCACATTTGGTATTCTGTCAACACAGGCTTTGATCCTGAGTTTAGGTGTAACATCAGTAGCGAACAGCCAATCACATGCTGATAGAGTTTATAGAATATTAAGAATTTAAACAAATGTACACAGGAAGATTTGTCGTCTTTTGGGAGGTGATGGAAACTACAGTTGTTGGCAGGATCACTCTGATTTCGTTTTCGGCTTATGTTCAAAACACTCACGTTTAAGCCACTGAATTAGTTTAGTCCAGTTATACGTACAATCGCGAACAGCACATGTTGTCCCTGAGCTCCGTAACGACATCTCTCATAAAGATTTGCGTCTTTAAATAGTAAAATAATTCTCAGAGAAACAGCTAGCCTCTTCGCTAACTAACACAGAAAATACCATTGGAATGCTACTTCCGCCGCGTCACCGGAAGTTTCACCCACTTTATTTTTTACAGGAGCGCCCCTCGGAAACTTGTGGATAAGTGTCACTAAGTCCCATTTACTTTAGACTGGTATTAAATTTTACACATTTATTTACACATTTACACCCTCTATGCACAAGATCAGGGATGGAAATTAGCACCCGATTTTGTGTTGTGGAGGGTAAATTCACTTCACCTACCAGCCACCGTGGCGGGTAAATAAAAATATCATGCATACTGTTTCACCCGAGTCCGACGGTGGACACTTTTAGAGGAGGCGCACCTTCAACACCCACGCGTTTCTTCCGTCGAGCTCTCTTGTGTGGTAAAGAGCTAGCTGCGTGAACATCTACCCGCGCGCTATTCCCGGATCTACTATTAGCTCATAAAAGTGACGCGGCGCGCTCGTTTTTAGAGGCGCGCAAGTTCATTGTTGCATAGCAACGACAGACGCCACGGGAGAGCACGCGCTTGTGGAAAGCAGAAAGCGGTGCGAACTGCGCTCTCCACGATGATGAGGAAGTATTAGCAAAGAATCAATTTTCCTAGCCCCTAGCTTTATTACATATACATATATATATGGAGATGAGAAATAAAAAGCCGTCTGAAATGAGTCACTGTCGGCATCGGTGAACAGATAATGGGCCAGATCACTGTTCATGCTTAATTAAAAGTGAAAGCACACTTTGATGGACACAAAAATAAATATGATTGCACACAAAAAGTGCCCAAAATGCACAGATTTTTCATATCTAGTGTGTTTTAACAAGAACTGCAGTAGGCTGTGTAAGAAAAGAAAATTGCCCATTTAAACGTGTTTTTATTCAGAGTGGGTAAAATATATGGTGTTTTATAAAAATAAAAATAAAAAAAACATGGAAGTCTTTTTAAGATGTAAGAGCAGAGGAGGGGAACAGGAGAGAAGAGCAAGGGAAAATGAGAGATCTAGGCGGGGGTCCCATAAGATTATCTTGTCCAGGACCCAGGCAAGACTGTCCGCTGGGCTGGTCGCCACACCAAGGCATGTAAAAGAGGCGTCTACTTGGCTATTATTTGAAGTTTTACAGTAACTTACTCTTGCAGAGAGAGCATCCTCCAGCTTAGAGTGCGGTTTAGCATCTGTTCTAGGGATGGCTCGATACCACAATTTGGGCTTTCGGTACGATACCAGAACCTAATACCTCGGTATCGATACTAAATCGATAACACAGTCGGGGAAAAAAAAAGAGTCTAAATTTAAGTGAATTGAAACAATTATATTAAACACTGCTTGAAACTCTCAGCTACCATATGTGCAAAGAAAGTGTCAAAAAACAAAAACAGATCAAAATTTTCAAAATAAATTCAATCAAGGAACATACAGTAGGTAAAATTTAGATTTTGGAAAAGAAAAAAAACCCCTGAAATTATACAATTAAAATAGGTTAATATCTATAATAATAATAGATTAACATATAATAATAGAATGGCATGTAAACCATAAGCTGTCATGCATCAACAGAGAATTATGAACATTTATAGCGTTTATTCATCTTGGTTTGCTTACTGTTTGTGTTTGGATATAGATTATGCATATAATGCATTGCAATGTTATGCTAAACATGTATTACATTTTTAGGTAATTTTATTACTGATTGATCTAGATTATTCAATGCTATATTGTTAGGCCAGGTTCCTTAATGAATTATGACAAATGTAGCTTAATTGTAGGCTAATATTATTAATATTTATATTACTACAATCTCCCTCTCTCTCTCTATGGGTCACAACAGCAGCAATAATGCCATTAGTTTTTGCTATTACTTTTATTCTTTATTAATTCAAATTAAATGAATATGTTTGTTTGAAATTGCAAAAATGATGAGACCTAAACTGAATTCCCAGACAGCAAACTGACATTGAATCAACGTGGAAACGGCGTCTCTCATGACATTGAAACAACGTTGATTTTGAACCAACGTCAGACGCGGCTTTTTTCAAAGCTAAGTGAAAATCGGAAAATTGTTTTGCTTTCATAACGTTGAAACAACTCGTTGATTTCAAGTTGATTTTCCGTTAGTTTTGAAAGAATGACGCGTCTGACGTTGGTTCAACGTTAATTCGATGAGCAAAACAATGTCAGATCAACGTTGTTTCGATGTCATATTTCCACGTTGATTCAATGTCAGTTTGCTATCTGGGTTGGTTCTACCGTGTCATGCAAGAAGAAGATTTGATCTCTCGTGTTTACCCTATCATATTTAATTGATAAGCTCTAATGTATGTGCGCTGTTCAGTGTTCAATAAAAGAGTCAAGACTAAATTAAATCAATTGAATGATGAACTCACCAGTCGATCTCTGAACTCTTTGAACTAGCTGGATGAGCAACTAATGAGCGCTCCGGCAGATTTGATGTGTTGGCTCCCATGGAAACACTTTAATGAAAGCAACGTTTGCAAAGTGGTGCATTGAGGTATGTTACTTTACTATTCTCATTACTTTAGCAGGCAAAGTAAAGCCTTATTTCACTGATACTTCTCTCTATAAATTAATTTCGGGCGTGTAGAAATTCGAATGAGCTTCGTTTGATCCATCGTGTTCCTTCGTTTGCCGGTTTCGCGTGACCCGCGTCAGTTTCAGTAGCGCACTGCCGCCTAGTGGAGAACTTCGGAACAGCAGCGCATTAAATACCGAATTTAACAAAAAAAATAATATTGTACTGTTTGAAATTTATTATATACCGGTATTTTTGTAATACCGGTATACCGCGCATCCCTAATCTGTTCAGTTTTTTGTTTAATATGCCCTACTAATTTAAAGAAATGTATATCAGTTTATGGTTTGTGTGTGTATAAGAGAGATAGAGAAAATGTCAGTATTTCATTGAGACTTGATTAAATTGATTAAATATTGATTAAATAAACTGGCTAAGTAGTATTGTAGATCTTGTAGTGTTCATTTTCAAATGCATTGTCGGTTAAAAACAAGAAAGTGGCTGGTAAAAACATTGAGTGGCTGGTAGATTTTGAAATCCACCAGCCACTGACAAATAGGTTAATTTCCATCCCTGCACAAGATGTGAGCATCATAAATTAATACTTGTCACAAATACTCTACTATTAAATTATTATTTTTTTTAAATAAAGAAACTGATAAAGTAAGTGAACACTGCAGGCTCATCACCAATGGGGGTTTGGGTGGCAGCACCCACCTATTAATATGGTAACTCAGTGAACTTACTATTAACCCTCAGGTGCTCTTCCGTCATTTCTGACCTAAATTTTTTCTGTTTTGAATTTCTAAAAATCACAGCTTCATCAGAATGTTATGAAACTTGGTGACTTTTATGGCATTATGTATGTGAATACAAAAAAAAAAAAAAAAAAAAAATTGAGGTCATGATCCGAGCATGCTAAGTGGTCGTGGTCTTCGGTCAAAAATAGGACCCATAGGAAATGAATGGGAAATTGACAAAAAAAAAAATTCTCTGAATTTTTGTACGTGCAATCTACAAATCAGCCACAATTCTAAAAAAAAAAAAGTACAGCGCAGGAAAGGGGTGACACTCTACGACATCTAGAGTGCAAAACAGACAAACCCACACACACACACACACAAACACACTTTTATACACATACACACCAATACATTTTGATTACAAAAAGTATGTTTGAATTTTTAAAAATCACAGCTTCATCGGAATGTTACGAAACTTGGTGACTTTTATGGCATTATGTATGTGAACACACAAAAAAATTAAGGTCATGATCTGAGCATGCTAAGTGGTCTTAAAAAAAAAGTCACACTT